GGCAACTTAAGGAAGCAATAAGACCTACCTAACTAAAATATTTGGGCTATTCAATTGAGGCCATAAGTCCCACTAATTTGAACTACTTTCTATGAAATTTTTAAGTCCCAATCTAAATTTAAATCATCGGGCATCCTATTCTATAGGATTAGGTTGTAAGACTTGTTTTTGGGCAAATTTCTAATTGAAGTCGTAAGCCCCAACGTTTTAGAAAAATTACTAAATAAATTATAATGAACCTAAAACCCAAATAATCTAATTCAAACCTACGGGCATCCTAGCCTATAGGTTAGGTTGTAAGGCACACCTTCGGGCTACTTTCTACAAAAGCCATAAGTCCCAATTTAAATCAAATACTTGAGTTACTTTCTACGAAAGTCATAAATCTCAATCTAGATTTAATTCTCCGGGCAACTCCTAATTGGAGCCATAAGTCCCAAACTAAATAAATTAACGGGCAACTTCTAAGGAAGTAGTAAGCCCCTAACTCAAATTAAATTAAAACTAAAATCAACATCTAACCACTTCAGTCTACTCGGGATCCCTGAGAGGAGACAACCCATTGCTGCTAATTAGATTCCTTGGACACTGTGGTCAATAATTGTTAGTGTTGGTAGACTGAAATCTATGGTATACCCGGACGACGGAACCATGGGATCTTGATTGGGTTTACCTCCATCTTCCCACCATTTGAGACTAAAAATATCTAAAATTTATTCATCCTTAATCGAGAGTTCTCTCTTACATAGTAAGAGGGGTAATTAACTATGAGTGCTTGCGCTCATAGGAAATAAGAACCCCAGATCTAATCATTCATATCATATCATATACCCATGTACCAATTTTATCAATCAACTCATATGTTTGTATCAGTCATTTCCTACATCACATACATATTATATCATATCATGTTACTTATATATATATATATATATATATATATATATAAAGATAGATCAATAATGTGAATCATATATAACATATAAATGGTTACATGTACTGATATCATGTAATAGATAATTCATAAGATGGATAAGAGTGATGTCATTGATACCTATATGTAATATGTTTATAATTTACTTTAATGGTTTATTGATTTCTGATTTACTGTTATAGATTATCAATGTATTTAAGTTCTCACACCTTTTGGCTAATTTATGGATTTAAACTTGATGATATTTACCTTTTGTTATTGATCATATTGAATCGTATCAGTGATGGCTGATTATTGATGTTATTGGATGCTATTTATTCTATTTATTGAGATAATCATGCAAATTAATTCATTAAATATTATATCAAAAACTTTAATGAGTTTTGGGTTTCTTATGAGCTTTGTAAGCTCATTATGTGGTTTTATTGATTTCAAGTCAAGGAAATAGTCAGGACTCTGTGGAGTGAGGTGGACAGAGATCTTTAGGATTCTTCTTTTATTTGCATTATTTTTATTTCATTCTTTTGCAGTAAGGAGCTATTGATAGATTATTGATTGTTAGTGATCTTATTGCTATTATAAATGGGATTTTCGAGAAGAAATATAATGAAATATTTTAATGTGTATGATATTTAATTGCTTCTACTAGATATATTAATTTATATTGATGTGATTATAGAAGCTCTGGTAAATGATTAAATAGATAAATTTGACTATTCATTCAATTTAGATTTTGAGGTGTGAAATTTATAACCCAAGGTATGTAGGAAAAAAAAAATGGTGGCCAAGCTCCACCTTAAACAAATTTGACTTTCTACACCTACATCTAACGTAAGTCATTTACAAAATGAGATTTTTTATTTTCTTCAGGTCTTTACACTCTCCATTAATGATCATGCTTCTAAAAGGCTTCTAAAAGAAATCATCTTCATAAGAAGATTCATTCTTTTTGTTCCTTTTACTTAAGATAAATAATCTCATTATTAACTTTTATAATTTTACATTCACTTTTACAAATTATACTTGAAAAATGAAAATACTTTTTAAACCTGCAAGGTTAGCATATAAATCAATTTATAAACATCATAACATCACAATCATATCATAAAATAATTTCTCTCTTTTAAGCAACTTATAAAACTTGGTCATTCTTTTATCTAATTAGATGGCTTAAGAAGCTAAAGCACCTATTAAAAACAATATTTTAGTTTAAGTTTATAAATAGCCCACTTTTAATAGCCCTACATGAGCATGGGAACTTGTAAAAATTTGCACTTCTAACCTAAGATATTTATCAGCTTATTACCAAAACATAACTTCACATTCATAGGCACCAGTCAATCACATCATAGCACTCATCCACAAGAGAAATTATTGTGTACGCAATCCGAACGCTTCGGATGCTGTGTATTTGCTGCTTATTTTGTTGCGTATTTTTTGATAAATAATTTTTTCGTGACCAATAAGTAGCATATAAATAATACTCACTAAGTACACAATAAATACGCAAAAAATACGTATAAAAAATTATGTATAAAAAAATACGCAGTTAAATAAGCAATAAATACGCAGCATCCGAAGCGTTCTGATTGCGTACAAAATAATTTCTCCATCCACAAAGATCACTCATCAATCAACATATACAACAATCAAAGGAAGTATATCACATAAAGTAAAACATTGCTCCTAGCTTATGAATACTGTTGGTTGTCCTATCAAATAATTTTAAGTGTGTGTTAGGCTGTGTGCCTTGGATATTTCCTTTTTAGGTTTATGGTTATATTTTCTATAAATTTAAATTTGTTATATGAAATAGTGTTTATTTCAAATTTAAATCCTAATGAATTATGAATTATTATTTTATTTTTTTTTTATATATTTTGATGTTTGAATTTCATTATTTTATTTTAAAGAATATATTAATCAATGAACTTAGAGAGAAATAAATTCATTAATCAACACATCCTAAGTCGTGAAAGAATGTATTGTTTTATCCAAAAAGGAATACATCGACCACATAAGGCTATGGCTTTATGTTTGTTTATGTATTTCATTAATATTTTGAAAATATTATCTATATTAATATTTTAAAATTTATTTTTAATGAGTTTGAATTAAAATTGAAATATTTAGTTTTGTCTTGAACAATTTTATTATTAGTCATTTTCAAAAGTTTACTTCTACTTATTCATTATTTATTTAGATTTAACCAAGGTTTAACTTTTGAGTTTTGACTTTACAATTTGAATTTTGATTAAAATTTATTTTAGAATATTCTTAATATAATTTAAAATAAATTGATTTTAATTTTGTAATTTTATAAACTTTTATGGTTTATGAATTTTCTAAATTTAAATTATTATAAATGTCCTTATACATGACGGATTTATATTGGAAAAAAATTATATAGTTTTAAAATCGACGATGCCGATCCCAAGCCTTGATGAACAAGGTTGAGAGATTTTTTAGTATTTGAATTTGTGCCCCCATATAAAAAAATCCTGGATCCGCCCCTATGATAAGTATCCTTAATACAAAGTAATTCATTGAGATTGTTATTCCGGAGACATTTTTCTCATTTACTAGCGACAATAAATGCCACAATCTCTAATGGAGTACATAATCAAAATTTAATGCAACTTCAATATGACAATGAAATTTAATTAGAAGCCAAACAAGGTGCGCAACTTCAGAAAACCAAGTGAGTCCCTAATGTACAACAATTAGCAAGGCTTAACCATATATTGCATTCAAGATGTTCAACGTTGTTGATTAGCTACCTCGAAGTGCTCAATGCATTTAATTTTAACTTAATGAAATTGTAGTCTTAGACGAGCTTCTCAATAATTAAATGCATGTTAAGGTCCTCATCATTGATTTAAACTTCACCCAATTACACTACAACGTTAAACTTCACCCAATTACACTACTATGGTCCTTCCGACCTCCATCAACAGACAACGGTCTTTCTGACCTCAGTCTCCTGCCGACTATGATTCTTCCGACCTACATCGCCAGACAACGGTCTTTCTGACCTTTATCTCTTGCCGGCAATGACCATTCCAACTAAACAAACATGTCTATGTAGATTATTGTAACTCCCACAATGTAATTTGCTCTATATGGCGTATATTTGTGACATCAAGCCAAGGCCTTCTCCTAAGGAGGGGTCTCAATTGTAATCAACAACAAATATTAGTGGATTCATTCAAACTGGGCTAGGTCATGTGATTTTTCCCCTTTTTAGGGGTTTCCGCATAAAAACTCTGGTGTCTCTTATGAACGCTACATCCTCTCTCTTATCTGATTGTGTGCTGGATTTTCGTACAATGCTAAGACGTTAAACTATATATTTTCTCTACCGCCGCGAATACTCCAGGACGCAACAATAATGATTATAATTTTTTTTAATAAGATTTTTTTTTTCATCATGATAATGATAATATAATTAAAAACATTTATAATATGAATTTTTTTAAAAAAATTTCATGGCGTACATTTAATGCATGTGCATTTTTACTAGGATATATATATATATATATATATATATATATATACAGAGAGAGAATGATGAAGAGGCTGTTTGATATTGAATTGAATTTAATTTAATGGGATTTAGTAATATAATAAATAATTTGATAATTAACATCTAAATAATTTAATGATAATTATACAACTAATAACTAATTATTTAAATAATATTCCTACTAATAATTTGATTAATTATTTAAGTATTATTTAGTTAGCTTTAATTATAAATTATATTATTACTTATCTCATTAATCACTTAAAAATTATACTACTCATTAATTATTTAATTATTATTTAGGCTATTAATTGTATATTTAATAATTTCTATTTTAAATTATATTAATTAAGTTGATTATATTATTTTTAATTATTAATTATACATTAAATATTTAATTAAAATAAATGAGATATGTTATTAAATACATTAATTATGCTACTAATTATTTACTTAATTATTAATATTTAAAATTATATTAATTAAGTGAATTAAAAATAGTTAAATAGCTTAGGGACGTCTAGGGTTGCTTTTCATCTTCTCTGTTTCGTCGTTGCTGTTCGGCTTCGTTGCTCCGCAGTGTAGAGATGCACGAATCACTTATTCGGCTTGCCCCTTTGTTGCCGTTCGACTTCGCTCCTTCGACGACGTTCCCTTTATATCGGATCTAAAGCCACACCTCCTTGCCGTTCTCTGTTGGTTTGGAAGTAAGCACGACTAGGGGAGCTTGCTCTTGCTCGTTGCCAAGGTAGCCATCTTTCTTTCTTTCGTGCGCTTATTGGGCCAAATCCTGTTAAATCCGCCGAACGACGGGATTTACTCGGATTTACGCCGTAAATCCGTAAATCCGGATTCGAAGCGACCTCAAAAAACCGTTTGTCTGGATTTAGCTTAAATCCGACTTAAATCCCGCTGTAAATCCGATACCAAACAGCCCCTTAGTTTTAAACCAGAGGTAAAAACTTATTCTTCCTGTCGGATCGGAAGGTGATGGCGTCGGCCTCGGCGGACGATCGGCCTAATAAGTCCTCTACGCTTGGATTCCTATGGTCCACCGCTAAGGAAAAGAGCCATCTTCTCGCGGAAATAGATCCCGACGATGATTATGCGGTGGACGAAAATGCTTCTGTGGAGTTCGCTGAAGGATTCTCCTCTCTCGACGGCATATTGCAGTGGGCTATAGGTATTTATTTTGTTCTCTTCCGTTATCCTTTCCGTTAGGAGTGTGCAACTAAACCATCCTCTGAAGAATACTCTTTTTTATTCTCTTTTTAAATAGATAAGTTTTAATTATCTTTGTTCTCTTCCTCTGTTTCTATGTGAAAAATGATATGTTTTTTATGTAGAGGATGCAGAATACTCGGAAGAATATCAAGGAGATTAATCTTTTTTTTTTCTTTTATTTTGTTATATATTTATAAATATTTATCAAGGAGATTAATCATAACCTTCAGAAGGAGCTAAGGTGGGTTTTAATTTTGGGAATTGATTCTGATTTCTTAACGAGGTTAAGAGAATGGGCTTATGCAGGAAGAAGGAGGAGAATCTGGATGGGTTGGATGTTAATGACCTGCGCGGTCTTGATCAAAATTTGGTAGAGTCGATTAAGATTGTTCGACAGAGGAAGGTATTAATCTGTTTGTTGCTCATTATAATGTAAAATGATTGGTTCCCTTTTTATCATATAATATAAATTTTATCATGTTAAATTTTGCTTTAAAAATAATGTTTTTATTTATTTATTCATCTTTATTATGTAGTAGGTTAAATATGTATTATACTTTATTAAATGTAAAATTCAACAATATAAACAATATAATATTATATCCACTTGTAGTACCTAAAATACTCACATACTTAACTTTGGAGTTAACTTTAACTCTTATTTTAGGCTTTCGGACTAAATTTACTCAATTTTTAATAGTTGAGGGATTAAATTGAATCAATGCAAAATTTTGAGATTAAATTGAACATTTATTAATAGTTGAGGGACTATTTTGAACTTTTGCTCTTTCTTTTATATATTTGCAGTAAATGCAAACTTCATATTCATTAACAAGCTAGGAGTTGAAAGATGGTGTTTTCATGATAGAGATATTGCACTTGATGGGAAGACGCTTGCAGTATGTAACTTTTCCCATTCTAATTATGATTATTTGACTTGCTTCGATAAACAAATACTGGAACCTCATTACATGAACTAAAACTTTAATGCAAATGTTAATGTAATTTACTTTGATATATAAGTGGTATTAGATTTACAATAATATAAGGTTGGTCTTGATTATTTGGCATGTGTAGGTAGTGTGTTAGTTTTTGATTGTACTAATTATATTAGGGGCTTTAGACATGAAGTTCCAGAACATTTTCGTGCATTAGTTGCAACTTCAAATTTAAGGTTGTTCTATTCTATTGAGTCTGCCCATTCATGATCAAACCTTATTAATCTATTTTATGCTCTTGTTTAATTAGGATTTATATCTTATATGTGCCAAATGACTTGCCTAAGATACTTTTAGCTTGTTTAGTTTTGTTTTTTTTCTCTACTCTAATAAAGCCGAGGGATAAAATGGCCAAAGTGGAAGACCAATTGAATTATTTTTCACCATTAAAGAAGTGTGCCAATTACAATAGATGCCATGTCTGCTTCAAATTCATTACAGATGTAAAGATGAGTAGTTACTGAAACTCAATTTTGTTTTATGATCATTTAGATATGATCGCATACTTTTCTTTGAAGTACTTTGGGTTTTGTTGCACACAATTGCTTATGAATTTCATATTTTTTAGTGTTAAGTTTTTCTCCTCATCCACTGCTGTTCTATTATAATATTCAATTACATAATAGGAGAAGTCTGATGTACGTGGTGTTTAATTTTTCTTCCATCACGTGCAGCCCTTCATAATTAAAAAATCCTATGAAATTATCTTATTATAGCATGCCATCATGAGATTCAAATAACTAAGGGGCTATGTGGTTGCCTAAAAAAATAATGCAGTGTAAAGGAATATTTTTGAGTTGTCTAGATGAATATAAAGGATTTAGAGTGACATTAATTTTTGTTTGAATTGAGTAAAGTGATTGCAATGTAAAGTGAATTGTGTTGGCTAGAGGTGGTGGCAGTGACCGGAGGTGGCAATTGGGGTGGCTAGCGACGGTGGCTTGCAATGGTGGTTGGAGACGATGGATGGTGGTGATGGTCGAAGGCGGTAATCGGAGGTGACGGCAGCTGTGGTTGCTAATGATTGTAGCCGAAGGCAAGGCAATGGTGGCCGGAGGTGGCGGCGGGTTGTGGCCAGAGGTGGTATTGGTCGGCAATGACGGTGGTGGTGGCCGGAGGCAGTGACTGGCATCCTTATTATTGGTTCTGGTATCGTCTTGCCGATGAAAAATCAAAATGGCCGAATAGATACACACATTGGCACAATTAAAGTGCTTGGCATCCTTATTGTTGGATTCCAACATATAGACCGCAAGGTAAGACACTTTGCACTTGAGTAGGGGGATTTTTCATATACGAGTAAGAAGAGGGAAAGACGGGTTGTGTACGCATGCAGAGAAGCTTTGTTCGTGAGATTTCTTCATGAAGAAGAGGTTTTACATGCAAGTAAGGAGAAAGAGAGGCGGGGGGGATGGATTGCACACATGCAAGGAAGAAAGCCTGGATGGGCTTCACCGTGTACGTGGACAGGGGGGGCTTCGCTCGCGAGAGGGCTTCGTGAAGAAACTTCTTTAGCATGCTCTTTCAAATAGAGGGAATGGGGTCCGAAGAGGTGCAAAATAAGTTGAAGTAGATTTGGCAGAGGCTTAAAGATGTTCGGCATTAAAACGCTCGATAAATTAGAAACCGGTTGGTAGTGAAAACAAAGGAGGAAAGTGTTTAATTATTTTTTAGCCGCATGATAGTGAAAATGCACAGCTATGGGAGAAACCATTTTTCTTATAGAATTTAATCCGCTCAGCTATTGGAACAAAAAAAGAAATGAATACGAGGCATCCAAAATGAATGTTGCAGATTTATTTTAAGTTTAAAAATGTATAATCACGATATTATGTGGGAAGAATCACAAGCCATACATATATAATACTATAGATATATACTTTATGAATGTGATTATCTACTTTTGCATTCATGCATTCAAAGTTGCCATTATGATATTGTTGACGTCATTTTTATCTCTTTTTTTTTCTTCTCGAGCGAGTTTGATTGACTTAAGTAAGCTTCGCTGAGCCCAACTTGAGTCAAATTAGTGCCGATTCAGGTTTAATTTCATCAAATTAATTTAATTAAACTCAATTGGACCCAAATAGATATAGATTGATTCAAATTGAGTCTCATTTGAGTTTTGATTTCAGCCCTAATTAATTAAACTTAAAGTGATTAAGCATCCTTCGACTTTTTAAGCATTTTTGAATCAATTCCTAAATCAAGAAATGCGATTGGATGGCTGAAATCAAAAGCAGTAGCTGATTGCTCATGTTTACTAAACTTCTCTGTTTTATACAAATGTTATAACAGTCCTAGAGAAGAAAACTTTGATCTCAGCCCTTTGATAAAGGGCTTAATAGACATTTTGATGCTTTGAAACTCTGCGACCTGGACCAGTTCACAGGGTCAGACGTCCTGCCCTGTTCGCACGCCTCCAGGATATACATCAAGAAGGCTATTTGGCGCTGGTTCTCTCGTTCGGCTCGCCGACGCTCGCAACCATCCTCCCTTCTTTCTTGTTTCTTCTATTCGCAAGTCTCATAGGCTAGCAAAAAAAAAAACTCTCGGCTGGATTCCATTCGCATAACCCAGGCGAAATCCCTTCTCGCATTTGAAACTAGAGAGATCTAGCCGATGCCCCGGTTCGTGTTCCTTGTTTGCACGACTCAGACGGACCTGCCCCTTCCTCTCGTTTCTCTGGTTCGCAAGTCTAAGGAAGCCCCTCCGCTTGCCCTCTCTCCGTTCGTTCTTCCTCTCGTGTCCTAGCTTAGACTGAAACCGCTCCCTCTCCGTCCCTCGTTTGCGAAGCCAGGAGCAAGCTGAAGCCGCCTCTTCTTGGCCGAGCCCGACGTCGACGCGAGCATGGTTTAAAATTGCGCAATATGAGGCTCTCCTTTGCGCAATTCCAGTAAAAAACGCCTCAATGCTTATGCCTCGAGTTTTTTTATGAGGCTTACACCTCAATTTGGTTGATGCCCGCCTCGCCTCACTGGCATGAGACTTACGCCTCACGCTATATATATTAAAACTTACATAAATCTTGAAGTAAATGCCCGATATTGGGCTCTATAGGAGAGGATGAAGGGAAGAGAGCAGTTCATCATAATGATAATTCAAATGAAGAACTCCTTAGTGATGATAGTGCTGATGACTTATGAGTTCTTATGTGATATGTCATTGCTATTTATTTTTGGAAATTAGAATTATATGTTAATGAAAAAAATACTGGGATTTGGGAATTATAGAATTTTGAATTGAACTATATTTCATGTTGTCTTATTATTGGGATATTTTGATTTCACTTCATATCTCATGTTTTTTTATGTTTTATATTATTCACTCATTA